AAACAAGTTGGAGCAAAGCTTTGAGTGAGTTTTGAAGTACACTGCGTTGGTGTCAAAATAACAATCGAATTCTCTCAAACTTTGGCAAGGGTCTTCTCGAGGGCCCTCTTGCAAAACTAATGCTTCACTAATTTTTTTTTTTTTCTTTTTATGATCATTTGAACATACAAGGAGCAAGACCTTGTTGACAAGAAGATGTTAATTTGTTAAGAACTGTTTGAATGAGTGGGGTATTCCGGTATGAAGGTTCTTATTGCACTGGATCCTTGAAACGATGTCGGATCTTCGCCCGGCCATTTGCATATTTGTAAGCTTGTTACCACTAGGTGGCTTTTGAAGTCAATCATTTTGAGTCAAGGGCTGGCTCATTTTAGTCTTCACTTTGCTTGTTATGTTCAGAACTTTAGTACATTGGATCTTTTCTTTTATTGGAAAAAAATTTTTTATACATAAAATAAGTGTAACCCATGAAAGAAAAAAAAAAGAGATTTTGAATCAAATCCTTTTTTTTTTGTCCTCTTAAGAATTACTTAGTCGCCAGAAGGTTTTACCTTTGGAATTTTGCCCTTATTGGGACAATCACTTATCTATCTTCCATTTTTGCTTGATAATCCTAGGATAGATCAAAAGTGGCCACCACCCCATCACTTTCACCCACCCAATAGAAGTACATATCTAAAATAAAAAAAAATTTTATTTCTTAATCCGAGTTTAATTTATTTAATTTATACAATTATTTTTAAATAATATCATTTAATAAATTTAGAATTTAAATCTCAATACCGTTCCTCTTATATTCGTATTACAACCTCTTTTATAAAAAAAATTATTTCCTACCATTAATTTATTGGAAATTTGGGGTGAATAACGAGTTTTTCAAAAGTAGAGAGCATATAAATTAAGGCTTGAAAAGGCCCTCGGACTCTGGGGTCCAAATGTTTGAAGTCTATACAGCTGAATAATCCAATCCTAGTCTTACATTGCAAAGGGGCTCATCAAAGAAAAGGCCCTTTTTGCAAAACATGACCTGATCTGATTCATTGTCTTTCAAGGCAGCTCTCCTTGTGTGTTGGGCTTGTTGATTAACTTATTATCTGAGTTTCAGCTAAAAGTTTACGTCTCGTTACTGAAAATTTAAGAACGATATATATAATTAGTTCCGCCGTAGCCCATAGCATCCAATCAAATTGAAATTGATACAGAAAATACTGGCATTGTCCCGTGAAATGATGCATAAAATATTGATTTGTCACTTTTTAATTGGACTATTATCCGTTAGATCAGATTAATGACGTTAATCCTAAATTTTTTATTCAAAACTTGAATCACTCAAGCCTAATACTTTCACTTTATAGATATAAATAACCTCTTTCACATCAAATAAATTCATTCAATTTCTTTCTCTCCTCTTAAAATTTTTTTCATTCTCTCTTTCTAAACATTGATTTGAATATTGAAACGTAAAAACTAAAAAAACCTTCAACTTGTATTTTTAATCGACCATCTATGCCCCAATACCCTCATTTGCCTTTTTTCACATATCCAATCTTCGATGCTCAAGAACAAGGGTCACTCCACAACAAGGTATTGATTTAATTAATAAATCCATTTTATCTCGAGCTAAATAACTTTGGATTCAAATTTTATTCATGATTCATTATGAATGTAAATCTCGATTGCATAATTTTTTATATATTTTGTTATGACATGAAAACCGAATAACTATCAATTTCGAGTTTTGTATATTATAAAAAGAAAAGGCCACACCAGCCTCTCATGCAAACCATAGGAACCCTCGAGACAAGATCCAATGTTTGTGACCCCTCGAGCAGAGAAACATAAAAATCATACAATTGTCTGATGCAGATTAAATAACAATTAATCCTCCTCATCAACATATTCTTCGACAGAACTGCCAATCCAGTCTGAATAATTGATTTCACTTACTACAAACGACCCTTTGGCAAATTATTAATCTTAGTTCAACTAATCCTATGGTCTGGTTTCATAATTCCATATAAATAATAAAAGTCCATAAGGGAAATGATATTATATGAGAAAAGTAACAAAATTTTAGGTCAGATAAAATAAATTTCCTGCTAAAAGCACATGCAAATGATCCACTTGATGTGGACAATATGTCCCACAATTTCCATCTGCTAAAAGCTGCCCTTTAGTACCCAAAAAGAAGCTGTGATTTCCATTTTTAAAAGAAGGGTTTGAGTAGGTTTACTTGTTTAAGGCTGTCAATTTTGGTTTCTTTTGAGACAATTACAGGAATGCTGCAGAGTTCTTAAGTGCAAGACAACAACGCCCTTCCAAATGCTGCAATTTGTTCAATCTAAGTTTGGTGTGGGTGGTTATGGTGGGTGTCAATTTCGGGGATTTTGATATAATAAATATATGTATTATCATTGTACGTATCTTATTAATTTGTTTACGTTAAGTAGTTTTGTAGGATATAGAGATATTTTGCTCTTTGTCAAACAACCATGGGCTTTCTCTTTTATTGTCCAAGTTGAATTCTGGCACGCTAGTAAAAACTTTTACCATAATGATTGATTCAAAATAACTTAATTAGTCTGATTAACTTTTAAGAAACTTAGAAAAAAATTTTTTTAAGAAATATTTTAATAGATTTTTGTTAAATAAGGATTACTCTGAACTATATAAAAAATTTTTAATAAGTGTAGTTAAAATATTTTTTAAAAATTATTATATAATATTAAGTAATTTATCATTTCAATGTTTAAAAACACAAAAATTTAACTATTAATTATCATATTTAATCTAAAGATATTATTATAAATAATTTTTAATTGATTTTAAAAAGTATTTTTTTATAAAAAATATAATATGATAACAAAAAAAGTTATAGATATTGAAATCTGTTAAATATCATTTTTATTAATCAAATGAATTAAATTTTAAATTAAAAATCTTTAAATACTCATTAACAAAATCAATTAGCCAGTTAAACCCTAATTTTATTAATTTTAATGTTGTGAGAAATCCGACCAAAAGAAAAATAAAATGAAGACAAAGAAAATCTTACTTTAATAAATATACCTTAATCTCTTGGATATCTTTGGGTTTTTGTTGGGTATCTTTTGGCATTCGTTCCAGGTTAAATCTCTCTGTCTCCTCTCCTTATAAAAAAATATTTTTGCTTTAATGTAAACATATATATTTTATTTTACAGTTGTCGTTTGTCCACCTGTGGGCCTACATGTCAAACCTTAGTTTCCGACTTTTCTACCCTTTCAAAAAATCGGCACTATTCGAGTTTGGATCCAATACATCCACCACCTTCAAAGGCAATTTACAGCCGCGGTTTCCCTGCCCAACCAAATTGTCTATCATCGTTTAACAATGTTTGCTTTGGTTTCTGGTGACAAGTGTAAGGGAAAGTTATACATACAATAGCTTTAGATATCTTTTCTGATCAAATTGCATTATATGGTTTAAGGTAAGTTAAAATTCTCTTGATTGTAATGGGATACTATACTTTGCATTACATTTTGGAGCTGATGTTGGTTTTACAAAAATATTTATATTGTCAGATTTGGACTATTGGTCTTACACTGTACCTCATAACAATTGATCAATAACAAGTTTATTATCATTCTGATGATTTATCTCTATGAGAAAACAATAGAAATCATAAAATATTTTCTCTCAAAATTATTAAGGTTAACATTTAGGGTAAAACAATGCCAAGTTGAAATTTGGGTTTAAACTTTAAAATCAATATTAAAATCTTTGTATCCATTTTCAAATTGGTTAATGAATTAATAATAATATTTTATTTAGAAAAAAATATAAATTTATAATTATAAATAATTTATTTTTTTATAAATTTAAATAGTTTCGAATTTAAAAATGTAATTTAATTAGTTTATATAGTTATTTTTAAAAAATTAATTTCTAATAAAATTGGATTAAAAATTTTAATATTTATAATTTTTTTGTTAAATCGCTGCGTTCTTTAAAGAAAATAAATCATCTTCTAAAAATATATAGAAGGGAGATAGTTACTAAAAAATATATAGAAGGAAGATAGTTACTAAAAAATAAATAATCTAACATTCATGATTTATTAAAAGAAGCCAATAATCATTCATGATTTTAATCCAGTTCTATTTTCACTTTAAACGCTGTAAAAGCACCCGAACGTAGCCTCTAGTACTAATCGTAAGTGTCGGTAACTGGGGTCTAATGGCATTAGGGTCAACGAGGTTTGACAATAAGATGATCGATACACCGTACGCAAATAATCGGCGAAGGTATACAAAAGTTGCCGTGTAATTATGGGGCCCAACCAACTGTCATTCTCAATTCCAGATCTTCGCAACTTGTGCCAGATCCGTTTTCCCAACAGCCAATCCTGTGAATTTTATATCCCAATTTGGCCTTCCTTTTTTTTGGAAATTTATTTCCACGCTTTTTGGTTTTCTCCAAAAGCATTGCTTTTTTTTTTTTTTTGTCATTTGTTAATTCATTATTATTGGAACAAATTATTTTTAAATAATAGAATTTTAACCTTAACGCAAAATCATTTTAATTAACAAACGTAAAATTTATTATTTTTAAACCTAAAAATAATTATGATTAAGATCGAAAAAAAAATATTTTTGGGATTTATTTAAACTTAAAAATAAATTTTTAAAATTTTTCAATCTTAAAAAACACTTTAGCAATCCAAAAATGGGAGAAAAAGAAAATTAAAGAATACAATTTATGCATATTTATTTGAAAAAAAATTAAAAAAATTTTACGCAATTATAAAAATGATGAATGCATATAAAAAAAATTACATTCTACATAAATCAGATATATGCTCGTTGATTTGAAGAAAATTTAAAGAAAGTAAACGAAAGTAAAATTGAAAATAGCAATAGAAGGGTAGTTTAGTCAAATAAAAGGGTGCCCACGCCCACCCACTGGCCCAAATATCTGCAGGTGGATGGCCCCTCGTTACAATTACAATCTCCCCTCCTTGTATCGCTTCTGAAAATCCCTGTCTCTTTTTTACAGCCAAGTGTGAAGGCCTGAACTACTGTTACCAGACTGGCCAAACAAACAAACAAAAAAAAAAAAAAGATAAAAGAAAACAAAACATGCTTTGTTTAGTGTCCACCTCTTTCCTTTGTACTTCCGTCTTTGCAGTCCCACTTTCACCTCTTCCTCTTCTTTCTTACAATTCGTCGGTCTCCAAGTTTCTTACTTTCTTGCAAAAATCTCACTGTGTTATTCCCTCAAATCTTCATTTTCTTGATTTTTTAACTACCCTCTATCTAAATCTACCCTTTCCTTTATCCCTTCCCATAAAAAGATTGTAAAAGCAAGGATCTTTGTATAACTCAGCTCTAGTTTCTTCACTGACTCTTTACATTTCTTTGTCAGAATTTTTTGTTTTAGCTTCAAATTCACACTTCTTGCTTTCCACTTTTTAAAGAAAGAGCTAAACCTTGCTCAAATTTCATTAATTTTCATTTATGTTTAATCTTGTTTTCCTGCATCAAGTCTCAGATTTTCTTGTGCTAAATCTTTTTAGACATAGTTGTTTGATCAAATTCTAAAATTTTAGCTCAAAGTTTCAATTTTTTTTTGAAACAAGAAACCATGGATTTTGTAGTTCAACGTTTGTTGATTCTCCTAACATTAATTGTTCTTGTTCATGTTCAAACCCTCCATGCCTTGGATTCCACCACAACAAGACCCATGAATTGTACGGACACAACGAGATTGTGCACATCTTTTTTGGCTTTTAAGCCGCAAGACAACCAAACTCTAGCAGTGATCCAGAGCATGTTTGATGTGTTACCACAGGACATAACAGTTGAGGAAGAGAATGGTCATGGCTACATGTTCATAAAAAAGAATTGTTCTTGCTTATCAACTACCAAGAATTATGTAACAAATACAACTTTTACGGTGAGATCAAATGAAGGGTATGTTTATGACATGATTTTGGAGGCTTATGATGGGCTTGCAATGGTTCCAAATATTACCAGGCAGGCGAGGGTTGGAGCTGTGGTTTCTTTGAGGCTGTTTTGTGGGTGTTCAAGTGGCTTGTGGAACTACTTGATGAGTTATCTGATGAAAGATGGGGATAGTGTGCAATCTTTAGCAAGTAGATTTGGGGTTAGCATGGATAGTATTGAGGAAGTCAATGGGATTGTAAATCCTGATAATATCACTGTTGGTGCTCTGTACTATATTCCATTAAATTCAGGTTTGTCTTAAAATCATTCAGTTTTTTTTTGGCCATTTTTGGATTCTTAATTTTTTTATTTGGCAGGTTCCTAAGTTAGTTGGAGGATTTTTGCATGTGGAGGGCCGATATGCATATTTAGTTGGTTTTGGAAAGATGGGTATTTCTGATGTTGTTCTGCCGGAATGAAGATGCTATTGACGTAGTTTTTTAGAACTCTTATGTTTTGCAAATAGAGTATGGTTAATCAAGTTAGTAAAATAAGATTTTCCGCCCATAGTTTATGTTAGTCTATAACTGGGTGAATTTTGATCTGAAACTTGTTATCAGATCTGCTTTGGCTTGGTGTGATTGAAAGTTTAGCATTGGAGGTCAGATTGGTCGTCCAAATAATTGGAAATGTATGGGAGATGAAGCAAGTTTGGGATAGTGATAGGTAATTTGATGCTAATTGGTAATTCAATTCACTTTTAGAGTCTGGAACCTACTTGGTTTCTAACTGAGGTCATAATGTGAACTTTGAGGGAAGACACTAATGCTAAACGGATTTCAGATATGCAAACAATATCATATAATGGAGAAATAATGAGTTCATACATTTTCTATGTGTATATTTGTAATTAGCATTAACGAGTATCTTTGCTTTATGATCCAATTCCTTATATTGCAAAGGCTATTAGTTGGTTTTTCATTTTGCCTTGTGTTTAGTGTGCAACTTGCAATGCAAAATGGGAGTAATTATTATAGCCAAAAATTTGAGACTAGGTTGTTTATATATGTTGCAGTTCCTGGTGAGCGATATCATGTGGAGAAGGAGATTCCCCCTGCACCTGTTCCTGCACCATCTGCTGACACAAATTCAGGTATGGATTAGTAAATCTAAGTGAAGGAATTAAATTAAAGTAGGAACGATGAATAGGTTCCTGTGTGTTAATTCAACGTCATTGGCTAAGTCTGTTTTTTAAGTGATGTCATGTAACGGCTGACAACCATAAATTAACAACATTCTTTTGCTGTAAAATGTTTGTCAAATTGAAATTTGCCTGTTTTACATATCAATATATGGTTACATGGCTTGCTTTCCAGATATGTGGATTCAAGCTCTATTTAAAGTGTTAGTGCTGCTCATTCTTTCTGCCAAAAGTGTTTACCAGTTCTTTTGTTTTTTGTTTTTTTTTTGGTTACAATTGTGAGCTACTTCTGTTTTATTTGATTGCCTGAATTACAACATCTGGTAAACACTCTCTAGTGAAAGGACCAGTGTGTGGATAGTAGCTGTTTGCTTGATTTTTCTTCTTTTGGCAGCTTCCATAGTCAATGAACATTGGAGCATAAAAGCCTGTGCAGTAGGCAGGCAGCAATTGCTTATCTTTAAACCATTTGATTATCTGGCATTGCTATATTTGTTTTAATGAGCTGTAAATACAATTGTGAAATGTTGAAAGTCACAGGGGTGGTTTTGTGAGATCCATAGTTTTAAATTTTGCAATTTTTTGGCTTCCTTTTAGTTTTTCTTGGAATTAATAATTTTCTGAAGGTTCTTCCTACATTTTGTGTGAGAAATATAATGTAGTATATCTTTAATTTTTGTGCAGAAATTCAAGTAAATCATAAGTCTCATGTGCCATATGGATGGATCATTGGGGGTTTTGGTGTTGGGCTTGCCCTCATTATAGCAAGCATAGTTGTTTGTATTTCCTTGAGGTCCTCAAGCTGCTTTGCTGAAGCTCGAGGAAGTCTTGTGAAAGACCCTGATGGCAAGAGTTCTCATAAGTTTCACATTCTTCGGAAGCCAAATTTCTGTTGTGGTTCAGGAAGATACGTTTGTGGCAAGTCAGGGAATTGGAACCAAAATAATGGTGAACCTAGTAACCACCAGATTACTATTCCGAAAGGTTATTACATTCTTGTTTGTTAATTGCTTTCAATTCTATTTGTTGCTAGCTGAGATATTGGCAAGGAGTTATTTATCATGCCAAACAAATTAGATTAATGAATCAAAACAAATAATAGTAAAAGTTATAAACCCTAGACCTAATGTTTTTGAATAATATCAGTTAGTTCTTAAGTTTTAAAACGTGAGAATATGCCACTTCTCAGTTGACATTAAGTTTTAAAACATAAGTATTATCCATTCCCACTTTGTATGATTTGAAACAATCATAGCAGTTGACTTTTGAAGAATTATTCTTGAAACTGAATTGTTTAGGGGAAGCCTTTAAATATAATTTTGGTTCCTTTTTAATCAAAGAAAGCTCAGTCCTATCTAACTATAGCTCTTCAGCTGGTGTGTTCAACTATGGCATCATACTGTAGACCTTAGTAAATAAAATAAACAATAAAAAAGAAACAAGGTCTGGGTTTTTTGTATGCTACTATGAGTGACTCCTATCAAAGGTGTCAATGCACCGTTGATTTTCAGAGAATGGGCTCTTAACCTATATTCCATGACATATTACTTTTTTTTTTTTTTTTGCTGATGAGATATTGCCAGTTACTGGAATAGAGGTTGCTTTGACTTGTGAAGTATGTAGGTTTCTCTTTATTGATCATTGAATCTGTTTCAAATAGTTGTTTGTAGTCATGGTGTCTTAAATTTCTGAATTAATTGGATTTCAGAGAGAGATTTCATTGTGTTTCAGAAAATGGCTTAACTTTAGATTTGTTGCAACTTTAGCGGGCAGGATAGGCTAGTTTTTATGATACTCAACTTGCTGCCCTATTGGCCAAAAGAAAAAGCTCGCTGCTCTGATTGATCTCAAACTTGGGAAGTCTAACTTTGTTTCTGGTATTCTCTGACAGCTCTAGGAACTGATGTACTTGATGTTGAGAAGCCTGTGGTTTTCACTTATGAAGAGATTCTTTTTTCAACTGATGGGTTCTCAGATTCTAATCTTCTTGGTCATGGAACCTATGGTTCTGTGTATTTTGCTCTCCTTCGTGATCAGGTTTGTTCAATTCTACTTCAGAATTTAGAGTACAGAACCTGAATAGTAAACAACCATTAAGTTTTTTTATTTGATTCTTTTAGGAAGTTGCTATCAAAAGAATGACTGCCACAAAGACAAAGGAATTTATGGCAGAGATGAAAGTCTTGTGTAAGGTTCATCATGCAAATCTGGTAATGCTTTCTGTCTGATAGGCAATTGTTTAAATTGCAAAATTGTGAAGCTTGCTGCTTGCCACTGTTCTAAACTGTTGACTCTCATTTGGTTTAATTTTGTCAAAGGTAGAGTTGATTGGCTATGCTGCAAGTGATAATGAGCTCTTCCTTATTTATGAACATGCTCAAAAGGGCTCCCTTAGAAGCCATTTACATGATCCACAGAACAAAGGTAAGCAGCAATTTATATTTAATTTTTTCTAGAGTTTTTACAATTTATATTTAATATTTTAAGAATGAATTATCACAGCTTTATTAGGTTGAAGGTTTTATCCCTGTAAAATTTAATAATTACTGTTTGTGTGAATTTGAAGCCATTATGTTAACGCTTTAAATAGTTGTGATGGAGCTAATGCTCTTGGTATATGGTTATAAAACTGGGCAAATAGTAGGGCTAAAATGGACTGAATATTGTAAATTATGGTGCTAGATCATACTTAACCATAATGTGTTGAAACAATGTTGATAGTAAACAGCCATGATAAATAAGAAACTAAATTAATTTAGTTTGCTTGACCAATTTTCAAAATGAGAGGAAGCTATTCTCATTGCCATAGGTTCCATGCCTTATATCAGATATTAATTAGTGGTAGCAACCTGAAGCTTGGGCATTGCAATGACCCAGCACATTCTAGCCATAAAAAGGTGTAGCCATAGGTTTTGAGTCCAATGTATTGGCTCTGTAATGCGATGGGCTTAGTCTACGAGCATAAACTGTTGCTCTTCTGGGTTGCTTGGTTACTGCTGAGTCTAAATTGAATATCATAAGCAAAATGGTAGATTCAGTGTTGAAGCACTACAAAGGTTCTGCTATTTGCTTGGCCGGGCAAGGAGGAGCTTAAATGCCCCCTGCATCCCATATAAGTGGGACCCAGTAGCTCCTATGCTTAACTTTTTTACTAGAATATGAAGTTGCACTTTTTGGTGTTGGTTTGGACATGTGAATTGAGGAAAATTAGGGGTAGTCCGAATTGAGGAAAATTAGGGGTAGTCCAAATTGAGGAAAAGATGAGAGAGGGCTGTTTGAGATGGTTTGGACATGTGAAACGTATTCTGTCTGTGCACCAGTTAGGAGAAATGAGCTTCTAAATTTAGGAGAGACCAAAACTTCTAGAGGGAGACCACGGAAGATGTGAATGCAAGTAATAAGAAATGATATGAGGGTTAAGGAAGTAAATGAAAAGGTTTTTGTTGATAGAATCAGTGGCGCAAGAAGATTCAAAACTGCAACCTAACATGATTACTTTTGGCCTTCCATACAACAGACCCCAGAGTTATGGGATATAAGACTTGGTTTGTTGCTGTTGTTGACAATTTTACACGGCTTGTTCCCATTTTCAATATGTTTTTATCCCCAATTTCTCCCTATTTCAAAACCTTGAATGCAATTTTATGAGATTTATGCTCTGGATGTGGGATCTACTGAATTATTTCTTGTGTTGAGTCATGAAATTCATACTGTAATTAAACTGCAAGTGTTTACTGGCATGAAGGTCATACACCACTTTCTTGGATAATGAGGGTTCAGATTGCACTTGATGCTGCTAGAGGCCTGGAGTACATCCATGAGCATACTAAAACTCATTATGTTCATCGGGATATCAAGTCGAGCAACATATTGCTTGATGTTTCTTTCAGGGCAAAGGTTCTAACGCATTAAATCTTGTTGGTTTTGTTTTGTGATTTAAGTATGCTTGAGCACATTTCACTAACTTTGCTTCTGTTTTCTAATTAGATTTCAGATTTTGGGTTGTCAAAGCTTGTTGGGAAAACAAATGATGAAGAAGCAACGGCAACAAAAGTTGTTGGTACATTTGGTTATTTGGCACCAGAGTAAGTGATGATTTTGTTAGTTGGCTACTGTTTTTCCCTGAGAGTTCTTCAAGACGCATTAACTGTTCCACAAATGTTTTCTTATAGATATTTGAGTGATGGACTTGCCTCATCAAAAAGTGATGTGTATGCATTTGGTGTTGTTCTGTTTGAGATTATATCTGGAAAGGAGGCCATCATACGAACTGAAGGCACCACAATGAAAAATACTGAAAGACGTTCATTGGCATCTATTGTGAGTTCCATTGTAGCATATTCTAAGATACATTTTATTCCAATTCATAGACAAGCCTGTGAGAAATTTATCTTTCTGAAACTAACCTTTAATGTAGATTCAGAACATAACTTAGTTTTCCACATAGTTCTGACGCTGAAGAATGAGAATCTTCAATAGACTAACTTGAGCACTGACAAATGATTTGGTCTCCTATTTTCTGGATGAAACTGCTACCTCTGCTGAAAAATGATATTCTTATTGAATGTGGGATGGGATTAGCTTATATGGGTACTGTTTTTTCTTCCTTTCATCTTCTAATCATTAAATAAATAAGCCAGTTGAGGCAGACACTGCTGTCGTATCTACGGTCCGGCATATGAATGTATCTTTTAAAAAAAGAAATAAACAAGGAGGAACGTGGCATTCTGAAGAAGTTGTTAAATAGTTCAATTTTTTTTTTTTTGTTTTATAAAAGTCTATCTGGCTTTTGGTTAAACTTTATTCCAGATATTTGTGTCATTGGAAATCTGTTATAGATCAGATTGAGATGATATTTATGCAGGATTTTCCTGAAGAGATGTAGAGATTGGTTAGTAGGATGCCCAGAAGTGTAGTAACCTGTATGTAGCAGTTGAAAAGTCTATTTGTGTTTGATGGATAGAGGTTTGAATGGTGACATCAGTCATAATCTACCTTGTTGCTAACTGGAATGGAATGAAATGTCTGTAGCAGTGTGAAATATAAAATGATAAGTCAGAATTCTATAAACAAATCTAAAGAAGGAACATCTTTCATCTTTTTGCTTTCTTTCCCAAGGGTCCAATGTTTAGATGCTCCTTCACCTTGGCTTATATTAATAATAGTATATTCTATATTGCAATTTTGCAGATGTTAGCAGCTCTTCGGAACACACCCGATTCAATGAGCATGTCAAACATGAAAGATTATGTTGATCCAAATATGTTGGATCTATATCCCCATGATTGTGTCTTCAAGGTAAATTTTGACCTTTTTTATCATCTTTCCTTTTTCAGTGCTATATGATACGTGAAGCTTGCTGCTTTCTTGAGAAAAAGGCTCAACTGTTACATGAACAGTAAAAAGAATTGGAATACAACTTATGTTGGTTAACGCACTTGATAAAAGCATAATCAGATTAATAATGGTCTATATAGCGAACTGAGCGGATTAATAATGGTCTATAAAACAAATTATCTGGATGAACATTTCTGTTAATGCTTTAAAGCATGAAGTTACACCCTAGACATTCTCAAAGCTACAAAATTAGCAGTTATCAGATTCTGAAATCACTTCCAAAAAAGGAAAAACAAAAAGATGATATTCTGGGACTGCATTCACAATGTTCTGACTCAGCTTCTAATTTCTTGCTCTGATATGTTTAGATGGCTATGCTGGCAAAGCAATGCGTTGACGAGGATCCTATTGTACGCCCTGACATGAAACAAATTGTGATTAACTTGTCACAGATCCTTTTGTCCTCTGTGGAGTGGGAAGCAACTCTTGCTGGGAACAGCCAAGTATTTAGTGGTTTGGTCCAAGGAAGATAGTTATGGAGCAGTCAACCTATTCCTCTCTAGTATACTTTATTTTTCTATTGCCCCACTTTGTGCCCCCTTTCATATGGTTATGTGTGCAGAGTAGCAATGATGTTCCAGAAAAGCAGTAATATGGTAGTATGTAGACATCATTCCTTTTCTCTCTCTTTCCTCTTGTTCTATATGTTATATTCTTTGAAAGCTTTAGGCCTTTTAACTTGCGTGAAAAATTTTGATGTAAAATGCCACGATGTAGTAAAAGATTTGGCTACTCTGCAACAAGCATTTTGAGTAGCTTGTTTAAGATACCAATATTTTTTGCATTCTATGACCTAGATTCTCATTTACTTAATTTCTTAGTTCAATTGCTTTCATGGATGCTAGGTTGCTAGTCACACGCTCAACTCTTTAAAATGGATGCTGAGACGACTGGTGGGCATCGCATGATATGAAGTTCATTATTAATGCCACATCGTCTCTATTATTCGTGTATTTATGTAGAATAGAATATAAAAATTCGTGTGTTGATATTATATTTTTTTTTAAAAATTATGTATTGTAATTTATATTTATATGAAAATATAAAATATTATTTTTTTAATTTTATGAAACTCATATATAATTATTACTAAAATTTTAAATTATAAATTATGTTACCTTAAAATTTTTTTTAAGTAAATTTAAGTTGTGTCACCTTGAAAACATCATTTTTGCGTGTCATCGTTTGTGTTTTAAATCATCAGATTTATAGTGGGTTTTGAATATTGTAGAGGTAATTGGGAGGAAATCAATGTGGGCTGTGACTTTGGATTGCATAAAATGGGTTAAAAGGATTCTGATGGGCCGTAAAGTTTTCTTTAACCCGACCCATCATCCCTCATGTCTCAACATTCGGATCCCGAGTAAATAAAAGAAAGCCTGCCTTGCAGGGAGCCCCACCAGAAATTTAAAAACCAAACGGCTAGAGGAAGACACAAAGAAAGAAGAAAACTGAGAGAAAAAAGGGAAAGGATGCGGAGAACAGAATCGAAGGCGAAATCGTTAAGGAGACCGCTGAGAGACAACGGCAATAATCTAAACCACGCCTCCTTCTCCTTCAATTCGATATTTATTCTCTCCTCCGCCAGGTATGACCAAATAAAAGGTTTTTACTTTTTTTGGTAGCAATTGTGATTTTAATGTACTTGGTTTGGGTTTTAGCTTCTGTTTGGTTGTTAAGAAAATATGCAAAAATTTTGTAAAACTATCCGAATTTTTACAAGCATTTGCCTTTTCATCTTCTTACTTCTTTTCTTTTTTTATTTGTAAATTTATTTTTTGTTAAATGGATTCCTTTGAGTTTGTAATCTAATTCCTAAGTCGGTTTTCCACTGAAAAAATGAGTTGTTTATACCTAAATTAATTTTCACCAATTTGGAAATGGCAGATTGATGAACTTGTTGTGCAAGCTTTTGAGCTTAAGGCAACATAACACCGAAGAAAATAAATTGTATCTTTCACGAATGTTATTTCCCAATTGCTTTCCTCTTTAAAGGTTAATCCTTGAAGTTAATTTTCTAAAGCATATATCACTCGATTCTGAACGTATTTGTTGCAGAAGTGACATGGATTGTCATGTTCTATAATTGCGGCCGTTGTTTCCCAGATTTAAGATGGCGCTTTCAAGTCCTTCTGGGGAGTGCCTAGATCAGTCTGGATAATTTTTGGAATGTGAAACTGTTCCTTTTGTGAATGTAAATGAAAAAGAATGCTTTGACGTTGGGAGTCCAGAAGAAACCACGTTGGACTCGATAATCTCTCCTTTTTCTCGTGTCATGGCTTGCTGCTGACTGTAATGTTGAGAGAGGTAGACAGCTGTTTCTGCTCACACCTCTTCCTATGTCGAAGTCACTGTCTTCCAACAGGCGTGATTTGTCTAAATCAGTATTCAAAAGGATTGCTTCCAAATCTATTGTTGAGCTGCCATCTTTCTCAACAAGGGATGAAAACCATGATTTGCTTGAAGGTGCTGCAAAGCTAACTCCAATTAAGCCTGCCGATTCTGTTGTGGCTGAAACAGATAATACATTGAAGTGTGGGTTTGTTTCTTCACCAGTGTTTTCGAGAAGAGACCATTCCATGCTTAAAAATGTCGCCTCCTAAATCTTGTGTGTTGCTCGAACCGATTCATGAGTCCTCACGTAGAGGCGATTATGGAATGCGCAAGTCTACCCCGGTTTCCTGTTGGATTTAACAACAGTGGTTTTTCTGAATCCTCTGGAAGTGAAGCTTCTGAGGATCTGACTTTGAAGTATCCAGAGAACTACTAGGCATACAACGAACTTACATATCAGGAATTGGGAAGAGAGAGCTGGAGTCAGACCATCACATATCACCTTGCCAAAAGTGGTTAAAATAAATGACTTTGAAACCATAATTTTTACTTATATTTGACGCCAGACACTTAAATTGTGTTTTTTTTTTTTTTTTGGTAAGATAATTCTGAACCCAATCTTTTTTAGTAGAAAATATATCTACATACTACTGAGTTAATAATTTTAAAGAAAAATTAAAATAAAAAATTTGACTTCTTTAATTGTGAAAACTGAATAGTAAAAACAAAATTTCTCTGGGGGTCATTCCACAAATAACCCTTGCTATAAGCCCAACCTTCAAACTTTCCCAGTTTCCCTGTTTAAAACTTTTTTTTCTTTTTTATTTTTTTCAAAATTTTTCGGTTTGAATAAATAACACCGTTTAAACTTTAAACTTCTCTCTCGCTCTCTCTCTCTCTCTCTCTCTCTCTCTGCTTTAAAACCCAAGTGTCACTAAAGTTCCCCAAAAACAATGGCAGAAACGAGTCAACTCATTCAGCAAATAGAATCGTTTGTTGATTCGTCTAGTTCTCCGACTCAGCAGGTTGACTCATAATTCCCTCAATTTATTCAAAATTTTTACTATAATTTTAGTTTTGTAAATTTCTTTTAAAATTTAAACACAAATTTATTATTCTGAATAGTTTGTGAATATATACAAAACAAAATTTACCCTAAATTATCCAATAATTCTTAAAAACGGATTTTGTTTCACTTAAATTGAGTATTTCAAGCTCCTAATTTGTTTTGAGTAATTCTCTTATTTTTCTGTCATATGAATTTGAACACATTGGAATTTTTATACTTATATATGCTTTTATATATGCTACATAGGCTGCAAGTTTGGACGCCATTTCTTCATTGTTGAAGAATAATACGTTAACAATAGAAAAACTGGTATGCTTCAGTTGAACTCAATTAAGAAAGGTTGCTTCTATTTTTTTTTTTTTTATTTTGTTGGGGGAGGGGGAGTCCTTTCTTTACTCTTATTTATGTTTTCATTTTTTCTTGGTGTGGGTACTTTTCCTAAGTGTGTTTTTTTTTTATTATTATTTTCTTTCACTTTCCTTTTGATTTTGAGATAACGGATTAGAGAGATGGAGGGGTATTTGACCACTGCGGAAAACATTGTTTGTGCTAGAAGTACTCAAATTCAACTGATTGTCGTGCTGGTATTTGTTTTTGTTGTGTTGTTTTCGTGGAAAATGAAGAATGTCTGGATTTAGTGCTCAATCGACTGCCCAATCTTCAACTTCATGTCTATAGCCTTATTAGCCAGCAACTATCCATATATATATATATACTTTCTCTCTCTCTCTTCTTTTTTTTTTCCTCTCTCCCATATACATTTAGATTTTATTTGGAAAAATAAATAAATAGACGATGATGCCTGAACTTCTTGTTATATGGTGTCCTTTTCCAGGTATTCTCCTTCTTGGTGAAGTTCTTGTGCATCTTGCATCAAAGCCATTGGATGATGCTAGTATTCATAGCTTAATAGGATTTTTCGCGGACAGATTGATGAGTGTAGCATTCACAAACAACAATATAGTTCACTTAAAGTGAATGTTGACACATTTTACATAATTTTGAATCTACGTGTTACTTTTATTTCAAAGCTTCGTGATTATTTTTTCATCTCATTGGAATTCGTGCAGGGTGTTTTGAGTTTTAACCATTCCCTGACTAGATGCTTCTTGGTTTCATGATTATTTTTTCATCTCGTTAGAATTTGTGCTGGGCGTTTTGAGTTTTATCCATTCCCTGACTAGATGCTTCTTGGTTAGAATAAATTCTCTATCTGGATAGTAGCTCCATATGTAAATTTGAAACTTTTTTTCCCTTTCTCCAGCACTTTCCATAAGTTAGTCACGATTTGGTGCCACCTACTGGGCCTGGGCTTTCTTTATTGTTCATAATCACCATATTATGTTTTACTTTCTAATTTTAGAATTAGATAAGATGATAATTTTACTACATCAGGCAGACTGGAGAGCTTTATGGGGAGCACTTGTTGGCTGCTTGGCCCTGTTGAGGAGGAAAAGCAATGGTGGTATGGTCAGCAGAAGGGATGCAAAAGCAGTTGCAGAGTCCTACTTACAGAATTTACAAGTGCAGTCTCTAGGACAGTATGACCGGAAGGCAAAGATTATTTGATATTACCATAACAAATGATCATACACATACCTGTTTTTGAGTGCTTTTTAGGAAATGTGTATCTGCCAGATTACATATATATATACATATATGATTAATTTTTTTCAAGTGTTGGCAGTTTCTCTTTATCATTTAAATGGATCTTCTTGCAGCTTTGTTTTGAATTATTTGATAGTACTATAACAAATGATCATACATATACCTGTATTTGAGTGCCTTCCAGGAAACATGTATCTGCCAGATTACATATATACATATATACAGATTACATATATACATATATACATATATATATATATATATATGATTAATTTTTTCAAGTGTTGGCTGTTTCACTTTATCATTTAAATGGATCTTCTTGCAGCTTTGTTTTGAACTTCTGGAATGTCTACTAGAACACTACCCCAATGCTGTTTCATCACTGGTATTTTTTATGAGCTTTTTTTTTTTTTTTTTTTTCAGTGCGTACTTTATTGGACTGATTTTCCTTTTTTTTTCTTGTGTGTATTATTTTTGTATGTTAGAGGCATATAATGAAATGAATTTAAAGAATAAAGGAAAGTAATTGATGCAAAGTCCTGATCCTGCTGTGATTGCTTATAGTTTGGAACTTATATTCTAAATATGTTGATTATGACTAACCAGAAAAAAAAATAAAAGGAAGAAGACTAGAAACTACCTATTTCAATTTTGAAATCCTCCTCTATCATCAAAAAAGTCAGTTGGGCTTATATTGTTTAAAACACCATGATAGAGCCATGGGGCTCAATTCCTTCTGTAAATAATTGATAGAAGTGCTTATACTCATTGTTATAGATTGTAGATGAGAGATTCTTTAAATTTTATTAATGTCAAAGGGGAGGTATCTGATTGGAACAATGTAACTGCACTAAATATATGATCATGCAGTATGAAGTCTTCAAAAGTTTGGCAACATCACAATTTTCACTGTTGTTTTTCTGTTGATAATAATCTGATTGCTGATTTGTGGTCCAGGGTGATAACCTTATTTATGGAATCTGTGAAGCTGTTGATGGAGAAAAGGATCCTCACTGCTTGATGTTAACATTTCACATTATTGAGGTTACATCGCGACTCTTCCCGGATCCTTGTGGCCCCCTTGCTAGTTTTGATCATGACCTTTTTGAGATTTTGGGTTGTTACTTTCCCATTCATTTTACACATGTAAGCTTTATTCATTGCCTTTTACTCTGCTATATTCTGATGAGCTGTCATATACTATTTACATATGAGCACGGAAAACTGCGGTATATGTCTGACGAAATTTAAACTGTCATTACAAGTTTTCCTAAGAACTAATGAGCGATGCATGTTGGAATTTCCTTTTTGATCCTCCGAGTCAAAGATCGGTAATGGTTATTAATTTTTATCAATTTATTAAAGATAATTAGCTGACTTCTTGTTGCACTTCTATTAGCCTTAGATAATGTTGGAAGAAATAAAGGCCATAAACCTGATGGCTTCATATTTAAAAAAGGTTCATATTTGATGTTTGTTCCTTTTCTTTTTAATTTTTAAATGCATACCGTCTCTGTTACCTGTATTGTTCTCATTTTCAACCCTTGTTAAGCCTGGAGTTAAGTTCTTGTCCCATGTTCTACTCACTGCTCTCTGGTTACATATATCAATGCTCTTTTTATAAATAGGAGTAGTAATTTTTAAAGCAAATTAGCCTTTATGATACAATGGGACAGATTTTGAAAGGATAGCAGCTATATGCTCATGGATTAGTACTGACTGTAAAATACTGTGTATGCATGAAATCTATAAGAATATGTACTAATAAGAGGCTTTAATTAATGATATGCGGTTCTCTTTTTCGTATTCTCTAGCCAAAAGGTGAAGATGCAAATATCAAAAGGGATGATCTCGCAAGAGAATTAATGGTATGTAATTCTTCTGTTGAAACTTCTTTCTCTTTACAGGTTATGCACTTAGTCTCTTGTCCAAGTTTGGGTTATCCATTGTTATGAATGCCATTATGCACTTTTGACTTCCAGTTGGAAAAAATCGTATACAAATTTTGAAGTCATTTTGTAGTTGTTGCTAGTAATGATTTCTAGACATGGAGCTCAGATATTGCTGTATTCACTTTGCTTTACCAGAAATACATTGTATACCTTGCCTTTTTTCTGTTGTTTCTCCTTATGTTAATTTATGCTGATTCTAAAACATAAGCAAGCTTAAATTTTCTTTTTCTTAATGCCCCTTTCTGGAGCAACCTTGTGATCAGTTCATGAAACATGAATTTATCAGAACAGAAAGGAGGAGCTTGAAAAGATTTCTGTATTTTCTTTTTCTTAATTTTCTAATTCTTGTAATGAAAATACAATTTACTTCTTTTATTTCTTTAAGAGATATGAAACAATGTAAATGGTAGAAAAAACAATGTTTGGAAACACTAGAATGTGGTTGAAACTTGTTTTAGGGTTTTGGATAAGACCAACATTGTTAAATAAAGAGGCAATCTCAAAATTTTCTTGTAGTTTAAGTTGTGTGAATCTTACCCACCAACAGAAAGGTTTGTTTAATTACTTGTCATATAATAATAATGGTTTGCCACCTAAATTTTTAGTAAAAATTAACTGATTCGCTACATAATGTGTACTTCTAGCATATCATGTAAAATTTCTCAAATGGACAGTAATCTTGAATCCTTTTATTTGCAAAAATCCTCTTATATAAACTTTTTTTTTTATGTAACATTGGTATCTTAATTTGTGTTACATGTATGATCTGTTTATTTATTTTGTATTCTTGCAGCTAGCATTTTCGTCCACACCTCTTTTTGAGCCATTTGTCATTCCATTACTCCTTGAGAAGCTTTCTTCTTCACTTCCATCAGCAAAGGTCAGAGCAAATGAAATAGGGATCTG